GGCGCCCAAAACACTGCACTCATACTGTGCTTGCCCACTGTAAAATGGAAATGCAACCTCTCAGAGCGCAGTGTTAACACAGCTTTGTGAGCTTTTAAATGACAACTGTGTGATTATCTTATGACTGATGGAAAGTCCCGAAGTACGCTGTGCGGTCTTTGATTGGCACTGGCTAGAGAATCCTGGGTCATCAGTATCAGAGCAATAAGACGTAGGAGGGGGAAAGTGACATCTCAGACTCAGAGGGCAGCTGATAGCTACAGAGAGATCTGAACATGCATAATAGTTTTTATTTGAGGTTCTAAAAAGGCTTCCTAGCATCATGTCGCTCAGCATCGCTGGCCAGTTGAATAAATGTTGCAATGCCCGTTTTATATAATAAAAAGAGGCCCAGAGATGTAAAGTGACTTGTCCAAGATCACGCAACAAGGCAGTCACCGAATCAGTGTGAGATAGGCCCCAGGAATCCTGCATCAGAACTGAGGGAGGGTCTCTGCACACTGGGTAAGATGCGACACATGCTGCGAATACTAGGCAGTCACAAATAGGATATGATGCGGTAATTAGGGGGTGTCATAATCCATACACATAAGGGGACAGAGTTAAAGTTGCACATGCAGGTGGAACTCAGGCACTTCCTCGCTGCTGTGTGGTCAACGTCCATCTTTAGCGGTCTCGGAAGTGAGATTTTTCTACAGGATTTTCATTATGAATCCAAACCACAGTTCATATTCATCTGGGAGTTTCCAGAAATCTTCATGCATTCAGTCTGGATCCCGGTTGGTGTGGCTGTTAAGGTGGGTGCTCGGACATACATGACATGAATATGGGCTCAATCCGTAACGCTCAGATTCAAATCCAGATCCTGAATGCCCCAAATTTCGGGGCGGTTGGTTCAGGCCTAGGTCTAGAGGCTCGGAGTTTTCCCTTTGATACGCTGAATAGCTTTGGAAACAAGCAACTGCATTTGTAGAGCCATATTTCAAGATAGCAGCTGTGATATGCACCACTTATAAGAGGAGCAGTGGCATTGACCTGAGTGGCCGGGGGAGATCCTGGCTCTCAGACACAGCACTCATATCCTGAGCTCCCTTTATAATCACTGCTGCTCCCATTTACTCGTCTTAGCAAGGGACAGTTTTGTTCTCTTAGGGGCTCCAGCTGTCTATTCCCTACACCCTGATTTTTGACTTTTTCCTAACAGTTCTCTCCATGTCTCTCCCCCGCCCCGGCCAGATTTCCCCTTCTTTCTAGGCCTTCCTGGTTTCTCATCGGTGTTCTCCTTCTTTGAATAGGAGACAGCTACTTGCATGAAAACACCAGCTATGCCAGCTCTAAGACAACATGGATTTCGACGGCATTCAAGCTCTCACTTTTTCCCCTGACATGTTGCTGCACAAAGAGGGGGAAAAAAAGCCTTAGATCAAAGTTAAATCCATTTACGGTGAGAGATTTTGATCCGCCCAGAAAGATCTGATCCTCGAACATCCATCTCTCTTCCCTTCGTTAAGTACCGTAGGGCCCGCAGATGTGTTTCTCCCCACTGCCGTTCCGTGACTGAGCCTAGCGTCAGGCTGGGCTCTTCCACCCTGTGATTCTCCAGAGCTTCTTAGTCACAAGTGGTGTCAAAGGTGGCAGAGGGACCGCATGTGCTCCACAACCCTGACGCTATTCCTATGTCCCTGACACAAGGGACACATCCAAACATGCCCAATACATGCCGTGCCATGCCTCTTATTTTAACTAATTATAAGAACGAAGCCCCCTTTGCATGTGGCAATAGGATGTCTATCAGGAGCAGTAGAAGCGCCCGAAAAGTGGAGTGGGGCCAGAGGTGACCGAACCGTTCCCCCCCTCCAAGCCCCGCTCCCACGCCGCCTCTTCCATGCCCCCCCCGAGGCCCCGCTCCCGCGCCCCCCCTCCCCCACGCCCCCCCTGAGGCCCCACTCCCGCGCCGTCTCTTCCATGCCCCCCCCGCCTCTTCCCCCCCACCCCCGCTCACTTCTCTCCACCCGCTACCCCCGTCGCTCGCCCATATGGCTGGAAAAAGTGGAAGGGCATAGCTGTTCTGGCGCCCCTGCTCTCTCTACTGCCTTATAAAATGACACTCTACGTGTTCATAGCATTGCGCAAGCACCAACGAACCGTGCGGCTGTAAGGGCGCTTTGCAGAACATTATTCTCATGTTACAGACAGGCAAACAGAGGCACAGAAAAGCTAAATGACCTACCCCAAAACTGCACTGTCATTGCCAAAACTGAGAGGGGAGCTCTCAGGTTCCTGGCTGCCAACCTCACCCTCCTTGCGCTACAGTGCATGGTGTCCATTTTTTACACCGCGTGAAACATGTATTTGCAAACACATTCTATAACAGATCTACTGGTACAGCACAGAAAATGTATATTTTCCACAGAGCTAATCCCACAGCGAATTGCTTTTGCACTCTCTATGTGAAGAGAGCAGGGTCCGATTTTGGTCTATTCATAGGGTTCCACCAGGGCATTCTCCAAAACTACCCAGAATGCTACCAGTGCCTGAGCAGATACTCATCCCAGGGTGCCTGTGCATTCGCATTAAAGCATCTTCTGAGCCCTTTAGTAAAATATGATAATATGTGATTAAGGCCTGACTGGAATCACCTCTAGCTTTCGTGTTTTGGGGCAACACAGAGGCTTGTTTTGGGAGGCCCTATCCCAACAATCTGCACGTCCCCTCCCCCTCTCTTTCCTCATGGAGCACAAGGGTTTACTCACTCTGGGGGAGAGGGGGCTAAAAATTAGTGGAGTTTACCAAAGTGCGTTTAATAGTCAAGGTATCTGCCCAAAGAATGGGTTCATTCAGAAGACTGAAATTATTGTGTCATCCAGGACATAGGACAAAACGGAGGCCTTATTGCCCATCTAGGGAAAATGACCTACATGCAGCACAACTCCTGGCAGGAGTCGAGGGGGAATGCGTCACATATTGGGAAGGATACCTGCAATTATCATTTTCAAGGAATTGACTGGGTTTCTTTAGTTTGTGTTTGGGATATTCTTGAAGCCAACCCACCAGAACAAGTGCTAGAGGCAATCAGGACGCCGAACAAGCACCCTACACAAGCACACTTCAGGCTAAAGCTTAATTGCTCCGATCAGGAGAGAAACTTGGGGAACCAGTGAGGTGGAAGGAACCTGTGATGCTATAGATGACATTGGCATGTGACAACGGTAAAGCATCTCAGAAGTAGCTTTCATCTAGCACTGAACAATGAGCTAGATGAAAGAAAAAGGAGAATAGTTTTATCCTTCAAACTACTATGCCTCTCTTTCATTGCAGAACTGCTACCTAGATCCTTCTGGGTCCAGCCCCTCCTGGCTGGATTCCTGACGGGAGTTTTAAAGAAACAGAACACACATCATCATCACAGGGAAAATGGCCCTATGTGATTCAGAGTCAGACAGCCTAGCAGGGTAACCAGCACTTCCCACCAGGAATAAACTGCAACACATGTTTCAGAACACACACACGCACACAAACACACCCCTCTGACATTTCTGCATTTGCTATTGCAGTGTTGCCAACTCTGGAGTCTCGCACGATTTGATGTTCATCTTAAACCTTCAGCTCCCGGAGTGGTGAATCTCAGCTTTCATTAAAATAAAACGTAAGAGCCTGTCTCCTGTGCTTGTAAAAAAAAAAAAAAGCTTGGAAACATGAACTCTAAAGGTGCAACCAGAAGGCAAATATTAAAAAAAAAAAATCCCAAATGTATACTTATTATTTTAAATCTCGTGATTTTTAGGCCAATTTCATGATTGGGGGGGGGGGCTCATGATTTTTCAGTGCTTGAGGTTAATAATACTGCTATTGGTAGCACTCATATTGACATTGTTTGGGACCAATCTGAAAAACCAAGGGAAAAAATCCAGTTCGATTTGAACCAAAACCAATTTTTTCATTGAATCAAACATCTCGAAAAAAACTCACTGCTAATGGATCAAAATATTTTGGGTCAGCTCAGACAGAAATCGAATGGTTTTTTGATTCATTTAGAGTCAACCGAAAAGTTTCAGACAACGATCAATTTTGTTTTGACTTCTTCATTGCGATTTGCTATTTTGGGGGTCTCTTCCACCTTTTTTTTCTTTTTAAAATAGTCAAATTTGAATTCAAAATGCCATTGTGAACCATAAAAGTCAAAATGAGACATTTACAATGGTCAAAACAAAATGTTCTGAGGTTTTTTGAAAAATAAAAAATAAAAATCGTTTTGTTCCTGGGCGAAACTATTGGTTGAATTCAACCCAAGTTTTGAAAATAGTTTCAGAGCAATGAAAAATGCATTTTCAATAAAAAAAATAAATCTGTTGTTGCAATTTTTTTGCCCTGCTCTAGTTCAGTGCTTCTCAAAGTCGGGCCACCACTTGTTCAGGGAAAGCCCCTGGCGGGCCGGGCCGGTTTGTTTACCTGCCGTGTCGACGGGTTCAGCCGATCGCGGTTCCCACTGGCTGCGGTTTGCCCTCCCAGGCCAATGGGGTCTGCGGGAAGGGCGGCCATCACATCCCTCGGCCTGTGCCGCTTCCTGCAGCCCCCATTGGCCTGGAGCGGCGAGCCGCGGCCAGTGGAAACCACGATTGGCTGAACCCGTGGACACGGCAGGTAAACAAACCGGCCCGGACCGCCAGGGGCTTTCCCTGAACAAGCGGCGGACCGGCTTTGAGAAGCACTGCTCTAGTTGACTTCAGTGACACAACGCCAGTTTACAGCAGCTGAGGAACAGACACAGGGCTAAATCCTGGGAGGAGAACTGAACAAATGGACCGGTTCAGTTCAGTTCGGCTAGCCACACCTATTCCTAATGGGGCAACCTTCCTTTTCCTGCCTGGGGCAGGGCGAAGGAGGAGATATTGGTATGGAAGCCACAACTTGTGCTAACCCTGCTAGCTAGATACATAGACACGTTTCTCCTGTAGCTGGAGAGAGAAAAGACGAAACAGTGAGTTTTCCGCTGTACTTACATTGCAAAGTTGCTGTCTACGAAACACCTGTTTCTGAGCAGCCCTGCCCAGAGCTGCACGCCGACAATCCCAAAGATGAAAAAGACAAAGAAGCACAAGAGAAGGACGTTGCCTAACATAGGCAGAGTATCTAACAGCAGGGTAACGAGTATTCGCATACCTGTGGGGAGAAGGAGAAAACAGGTTAGGTGAGCCCTTTGTGAGCCCTTCGAGCAGGACACAGCTAGACACAGGAGCACGTGTTCTGATGAGCTCCACACATTTAGGAGAAGCTTTCTCATCACTTCTGCAGCTTCAGAAGCAAGCTCGCAGCTTCTAAGTGTGTACGGTGGCAAACAAAGTGAAGTTATCTTCTGCAGTGTATTCCCTTTTCAATGGAAGATGGACCCAAGTCCAAGATCAGTACTTCAGGGCGGGGAAGGGGCACTCCCTGCACGAGTCGGTGAAGTCAACGGAAATGAGGAGAGTAGGATAAAAGACAGACTCTACATCTCGGGACTGCATATGAATCACGGAATTGGATGCTTGCGAGGCGGCCTCCCAGCATGCTCTGGGTGTGGCTGAATCAAGACTTAAAGTTTTAAAAATCTGGCCTGCCAAGGCTCATCTCCACTGAAGCTGCATCTTACAGGCTGGGAGTTCCCCCTCCCGACTCAGGAACTCAGTGTTATTCAATGGAATTCACCCTGCAGGGCAGGAGGACGTGTGAGGCCAAAGGCTGTGCCTCTCTGATGGACTACGGGCTCAATAAACTTTCTAAAGAAACGTCCCTACTCTTCAGCCCACCTGCCAGCATCATCTTCTATTCAAAAACTACCTTCTGGGAAATCATCACATGCCAACAAGTAACTCACCCGAAGCCCTGAGGAATCCTTTCCTACCCAAAATTCATCTGGGCAGAAGCATTTTAATAATATCCACAACCTGTCAGTGCCCCAGCTGCGGTGTAACAAATTCTTGGCCTACAGACAACAATCACACTCATGTAGGGAGCAGGGCTAGAAATCTGTCCCTTCTACTCCAAAACACAGACCTCTGCCACTGAAGCTAAAGAAGAACCTCCCTACTTGATGGTAGCAGTAGGTCTTTTATCCTCTTTCTGAACCAGCCCCCAGAGGGCGACATCACTCTGATATACACACTATGTCAGTGCTTTACAATGGGCCCAAGATTTCATCACTGGTGCCAATGGATGTGTCAAAACCTGCTCTTCGCAGCCAGAGGAAACTTTAGTTTCTGTGCAATATTTATGTGATAGGAGAGAAAAATGGCGGGAACATGAAGATCCCAGAGGGTGCAAACTATAAACAAGATGGGTGAACATTACCTGAACCATACAGGAGCTTTGCTGACAACACTTTAAGCCCCTCGTGCCCACCACCGTTCTCCCGGAGTGCTCTCAAGTGCTGTCAGACTGTGCTGCTGTCAGACTGCCAGTCCTTTCACAATGCCTGACTGATTGTCTGGCTGCCTCAGGGAAACAGACTGTAATCCCTTTGGCTGATTGGTATTGAACTATTAGGAGGCTGGAGGTGGGGATTCTGGGACGTCCATATCGGGCATTTTCAAAAGGCACTAACTGTTCCAGAAGTAAAAGGACAGATCCGTAGAGTCCTCCAAGGGGCAAACCAGGATTTCAATGCAATTTACAAGGACGGGAAAAGGAAGAAAGCAGGCGGATGTCAAGAGCGTGCCTGTGAATCGTGGAGACAGAGGGGATTAACTGGACTGCTGTACAGCATAAAGAACCTATCACCACTTCTACACCACACTTCCTATGACTGGTTAGCCGTAGTTAGACTATAATTCTTTTCTAGTAGCCATTGCAATAGGAAAGTCCTTTGGAAGATCTCCCAGACACGGGTCACTAAGTTAGGGCACTAGCCCTGGAAGTGGGAGACCTCATTTCATCAGAGTCATCCTGTGTGCCCTAGGGCAAGTCACTGAGGGCTTGCCTTCACTGCAAGCGTCAACTCGAGTTGACTCCTCTTGACCTAGCCCGGGTCGAACGAGGACAACGCAATCCCTGAGCTGCGTAGGCTGGTTGTATGAGCAGCCCAGAGCTTTGGAGTCCCCACTGCATCACTAGCTCAAATGCCACTCTACCCTCAACCCACATCCTGCCAGGCCGGCCCGCTGGCGTTTAAAGCACCACTGAACTCGAGCGCGACACTTTTGTGTGTGGATGGGAGTCAGGTTGGGACAGCACTTGAGTTATACCTGGAGCGAACACTGCAGCGGGGACAAGCCCTTAGTCTCTCTGTGTCTCCGTTCTCCATCTGTCAAATGCAGATAAGAGACCTGCCTGACCTCACAGAGGAGTTGGGAGGATAAATTCAGTAAAGACTGTGATGCACTCAGATGCCTTGGTAACGGGGTGGGGGAGGGGATAGACGTTCCTAAGGTAGTTAAATAGAATGGTTATTCTTAAATACCCAGATAAGGCAGCTAGGGGGAAATTCTGGGCTACTCGTGTTGTTTTTCACAAAATTAGGGGTATGTGACCTGCTTTGGGGCCAAATACCAATATGGGTTATTATATTTTGCCTACCTAAAATGAAAATGAATTCTCTTGAAATGAATCATTATTACACCTCTACCCCGATATAACGCGGTCCTCGGGAGCCAAAAAATCTCACCGCCTGAGATAGGTGAGACCGCGTTATATCGGATTCAGTCTGGTAGGGCGTACCGGCAAGGGCCGGTACGCCGTGCCGGGCTGGACCGGCTTCCCTGGCGGTGATTTAAAGGGCCCGGGGCTCCAGCCGCTGCGGGGAGCCCCGGGCCCTTTAAATCACCACCGGAGCTCCAGCAGCCGGGCTGGGCGGAGATTTAAAGGGCCTGGGGCTCCACACGAATTCGGATATAACGTGGTAAAGCAGCGGGGCTCGGGTGGCGCTTTAAAGGGCCCGGGGCTCCCCGCTGCTTTACCGCGTAGTATCCAAATTCGTGTTATATCGGGGTAGAGGTGTATCTACTTCTTCAAGGCCTAGTTCTCCTAATGCATGGAGTTTGGTGCTGTCTGACGGTCCCACGCTAAGCGTATGTGTGTGATGACCGTTCATTTACACATTGATGCACAAAGCTTCCCTAATAACACTGAGCCTGTCACCTAAAGAAGCCATGGCAAACTAGTACCATTAAGGGGTTTGTCCTTCTTGGCCCTGTGGAAGGAACCATGTTTAAAAATGACCGTTGCTAGCATGGTTTCCTTGACTATACGTAGGCTTTGCAACCTTGTTGTAACCAGGTTAGTCTCAAGATATTAGAGAGACAAGGTGGATAATGTAATATCTTTTATTGGACCAGCTTCCGAAAGAGACTCGTTTTTGAGCTTATACAGACCTGAAGAAGAGCTCAGTGTAAGCTCAAAAGCTTGTCTCTCTCACCAACAGAAGTTGGTCCAATCAAAGAAATTACTTCACCCACCTTGTCTCTCTAATATTCTTAGGCTTGGCAGAATTAGATTTTAAGGTTTTTTTATGATTTCGACTGATAATATCGCTGTTTATTTTTAAGCATGTTTTCCTGATTTTTATCCAATTAAATTTTCACAGTTGCAGGAAATTATGGGCTGGGTGTGTGGGTTAGACAATAATTATTCAATGACAGTAGATGTTGAAATTCAAAAAAAAAGGTAAAGCTTTATAACTGTTACAACACAAATTGTCAACATCACTTGTCAAAATGCACCAACTAAATGTCCTTAAATCAACTCTAAGTAGTTTTCAAGCGGCATTTTCCTTACTTTGCCTATCTGTAAATTTCGATTATTCTGGATTGGAATACTTTTCCATCAGCTTGTGTGTGTATGGTGCTATCGAGGTTGATTGACATTCACCATTAAAAAACGTAGTCTTCTAAGCCTAACTGTACTGGTCAAGGACTTCTGGACGGGGCTTACCCATCAAACCTGAGATGCTCAGAAATGAAGGGTCAAACTCTGCCTTCGCTCTGCGCTTTGTAGTTAGAGGTCAGGGTGACTTCCAAGTTTAAGTTAAAGCAAGAAAAAAAACCCACCCTGAGGAATAATGACATGCAAATGAGTGGTTCAATAAAGGTTAAATGAGTCTTTGCAAAGCCAACCAACCATAATTTGAACAGCTGATAATTGTAGCTTTGAGAGAAAGAAAAGGAGAACTAAAAAGCCCCCAACAGTGCGAAGTTCCAAAAAAGGAAAGCGCTTTAGGCACGGAACATTCCGACAGAAAACATGGCGCGTGATTACTGCGTGGTGCAAATCAGTCGGTCTGACAGATAATGCTGGCGACAGTGCAGTCTTCAGGGGCATTTTATCCTGTTAAGAGGCTGCTCTGCAAAGTGCTCTCCCTGTCTGTGTAGAGCTATTTCTCCCTTAATTTCCCTGCCCCTGCAAGATGTTACCCTCCATTAGTTATCCCATTTGGCTAGAGAATGGCATTTAAATTCTGATGTATTTTCTCTCTTACCCTCTTAATTTTCAGGTTGCTGCTTCTTCCAGCCAACTCCCAAGTCATGTCTAATGCATCTCCGAGTAGTTCTTAATTACACAGGGCTGCAGCTCAATGTCCTTTGACTTCAGAGGGAGTTTCGTCTGCATATGGGCTAAGAACATCAGGATTTGGCCCAGTCGCCCAGGCAGTGCCACCTTTTTTGGCATAACGGGACCAGACCCTCAGCTCGTGGAAATCGATGCAGCTGCATTGAAGTCAACGGCACTGCACTGATTTATATGCAGCATATAGAGATGTATGTGCTGCTACAGTATGGCACATTCCATCCCAGGATCTCAAAGCACTGTGAGAGCATCAGCTACAAACAGTAGCTCATCTCTTCTCCTATACGGAGACAAGCTTGATGCGGGGGGGGAAGGGGATGAGTAGCAGGGCAAGTTACGCCTCCCTAATTCCCCAACTGCATTTGCACCATCCCAGGCCTTTTGGCATAAGTTACAAGAGGTTGGAGGCTACAACAACGTACATAGACGGGTTCTGGTCCTTGTGGGAGCTTCTATCAGCTGTGAGTTAGCCTAGTGCAGACATGCTCCACACCACCCCCAACGCATGCCCTTCCACCCCCATAGCAGGATGTAGGGGGGCTGTTAGCGTAGCAGATGGCTATGGTACTTTACACCATCTGAGAACTCCACTGTTGGCAAGAGAACTGTAGGGGAACCTATAC